ATCTGGACCCTTACGACCCTCCCGGCTTTCCGCAAAGCCACCAAGTCCTGGCTGCTCCAGCAGGCCGGGGGACTTATGAAAGATCCAGCCCCGCGGAAATTGTGAATGTTGCGGTTTTGTTTTTAAAATGTTGTCTTCGTCTAGTCTTCCCCCTTCCCTTGTCTATTGTGAGCCGCCCGGAGTCCTTCGGGAGTGGGCAGCATACAAGACAAATAAATACAATACAATACAATGATGCATGCACAGAAGAGGAGGAGCCCACGCTATGACAGGTGCTATTTTCATAATTTACCCTCCCCACTTTGCCTTCTCAAGGGGCACTATTGCTGCAGAGTGACCTGCCTGTGGAGGCATCTACGCAGGGTTGACAAGCAAGTCACTGTACCAACCTTCTCATCTATAGCTTGCTCATGTGGAGGCTTCTCCTTTCTCCTCCTCTCTCAATCCAGCAACAGAAAACAACATGGCAAAGATGGGCAAGTGGAGATGAGGTGGCACATCAGCCTTCTTGTTCCCTCATGTTTCCAACAATAAACACCAGGAAATAAGTAGCCATAGCTTAAGGAGAGGTACAATGGTTTTATATTTGGGACGCATAGAGGTTCCATTGGCTCAGTTCTTCATTCAGCCATGAAGCTCACTCTATAGGTTTGACTCTCTTGGAGCCTCCTACACCTTAAGAGTTGATGTGAAAATCTAAAGAAGAAGCAAAAGTCGCCCATTCTGCCTTGTACTCCTGGGATGTGGAGAAAGAAGACACTCATGTTATATTTTGTTTTGTTTTCTGGACAGGGTGATTCAGGTGGCCCCTTGGTCTGCAATGGGAAGCTGCAAGGCATCGTATCCTGGGGCCCCTACATATGTGCCCAGCCAAATAAGCCAGGGGTTTATGTTAATGCCTGCAAATACACTGACTGGATCCAGGAGACTATCCAAAATAACTGAGGATCACAGGACGATTCTGAACAGACGCCAAAGGGAGAAGACACTTTGCTTCTCTTTTTGGTTAAATTGGCATTGTGTTTTGTTGATGGTGCTTTTGACTTGCTTCTGGAGATACTAAAATGGAAAAGGGAATCCCATATGCCACCAGGCTTGAAATGTTGGGCTTGGACAACCTGGAACCATACTGCCTGCGGTTCGACCTAAGGACAATACACAAAATTGTCTGCTACAACATCCTACCTGCTAATGACTACGTCAGCTTCAACCACAATAATACACGGGCAAACAATAGCTACAAACTCAAGGTAAACCGCTCCAAACTCGATTGCGGAAAATACAACTTCAGCAACAGAGTGGTCAACGCCTAGAATGCTCTACCTGACTCCGTTGTTACATCCTCAAACCCTCAAACAGCTTCAACCTCAAACTGTCTACCGTGGACCTCGCCCCATTCCTGAGAGGTCCGTAAAGGGGGCGTGCATAAGCGCACCAGCATGCCTTCCGTCCCTGTCCTACTCTCCCCATTTACCGTATATACTCGAGTATA